CATAGTCGAGATTTATATTTATCATCATACATGCTTTTTGCTCGGCACCTAGGGAGATTTGCAGAGATTTTATGTACTATTTAAAACATGAGCAGCAGTGTTTTATCAGATAGACTGCGAATGTTTTAAATTGTTTCAAAAACGATTGATCTAGTATAAGTTCATTGGCGAATAGCTTTCAAAAAATTCGTTGTGTATGTAGAGAAAATCAAAGTTAAAGTGCTTATGTCACAAAAAATGTTTTTTGATATTTGATAGAGGACAAAAAGTTAGTTAAACGTTCTTTAACATTTTTCGGTTTTCTCTTTTCATTCGCGAGATACGAGGCTCTATTAGGGACCGGTCATTATTTATGGTGGGGGGTGGCACCGAAGAGAAAAGGGTTGGGTAAACTAAATTTTGAGTAAGTAAAAGGTTGGGTAAATGAAAAACAAAACAACTCAAGGGTTGGGTAATAAAAAAATATTGTCATTTCCAAAGCATGACTCACTGAAGTATTGGGGACTAAAAAGCAATGGCAACAGTAGGCCCTACTCTGGGGCGATAACAAGATAATGCAAGTTTAAGCAATTTTAGGTGATTTAAGCAAAATCTGCAATTTAAGCAATGCAAGTTTGAGCGATATAGGGGAATCTAAGAAAACAATTAAAATTTTAGGGAATGCTGTTTTAGGTGTTTAGAGGTAATTTCAGGAATATACAACTAGATCCCTGATGACTCCAATGAAATTACCATTAACCTGTGCCAAGCATCCAAACATAAGTGTTTCCACAAACATACACACATGCAGTGTATGAAGCAAAATATACAATTTAACAAAAAAAGTTGAAGTCTGCTTGAGGGGGTTCTGGAAACAAACAATACACTGTATGCGCATGACGATCAAGTGTTTAAAGGTAGGCCGTATTCCCTGGCCCCAAAAGTCGCTTAGAAAACGATTTTTGTTGCCCCCCTTCGGGCACTACTTTAAATTTACATGAATCTATAGATTTTTATACGCTGAGTTCGAATTCACTTGTTGTCACTCGCACAAACCTGCAGTTTTTTTGTATTTTACGATCAAACATCAACATTTTTTATTAACATTTCCGCCATTTTGTTCAGGAAACTTCATGTTATATACAGTTATTGTACTAGTTCAAGTCTCTTAGCAGGGGGGTTGCACGCAGTATTACGCATTTTTATCATTCTTCTGAGGAAAATATACAGAAATAAATAAAAATATAGATATGTTTCCACAATATTAAAGTGCGAAAGGTAATAATACATGTTTGTAAATAATCAGGAACTAATCTACTGTTCTTGTCATCCATAAAAAAGACTCACTTGTCCTTGGTAAAGTTGTTTATTTTATTTATTATTGAAATTATGTACATAATTTTAGCCTTGCAATGTGAATAGGCAATTTTCCTGGGTATTGTCTACCTGAAATTTTTGTCAACAATAAAGTTTTGAAGGTTTTATCCCTCAGAGAGATTTCAAAATAAATTTTAACTTTGAAACTTTCTAATCTCCTAGGCGAGCCAGCCCAGGTAACCCGAGTTGATTTCATCCCCATGTTTACAAGAGACTTTTGAGGCGGGCTGGTTCGCCAAAACAGATCACGGTTATAAATAGTATAATATAATATTTTTTACTTCTCAAGATCTTGCCTTGACAGGCCAGCCCAGTTCCATATAAATGCAAGATGAATATTAGTTTAAATTACATAGCGACGTTAGATCTTGGCAAAGCGAGCTAGCTCGGGTATCCGGCTGGCTTGGGTACCCCCTAAGGAAATGAAGAAATGTTATTTACATCAATAGATTGATGTGAATAGAGTATTATTTAATGCCCAGCTGTTATCCAAGATCTAAGGCATGGAAAAAAAGAGTCTTGGCTAGGCAGCTAGGCTAGCCCAACTGGAAAGAAGGTTTGTGTAACTAATGCATATTGGTAGGTATAGTGATCCCAGATTACTTTAATTAAATTTCTAGTGCCTGCCTGGCCAAATATAAATTAATAAAGTATCCCTCCTCCAAGTGCTTGGTAATGAGTGGCAGCTCAAATAGGATTAGAGCTTATTAAGGTGAGGATGTATCATGACAATATGTTGTTAAACCTCATTATGGCTCAACCAATTCAAATGGCTCGACCAATTCATGTCTCTAGGTGGCATGACTTTGAGATTTGCTTGTGTGAATATAATTTTTTGCTTAGTACCTTTGTTCCAGCAAGCCCATGCATATGCTTGCCTCAACAGTGTCACATAAATTGAAACACCAAGCAAGCTATTGTAGCTGTAATCAATTGGGGCTATGTCCTGTATGGCCACCATTTGCTAATGTAAATACTTTAATAACAATAAAGTGATTAAAAAAATATGGCTAATCTAGGCTGGGTTAACTCCATATAAACAGACCAAAAGTAAGCTGTCAGTCTGTCTTAGAGTGAAAGATATCTTCCAAAAGTTTTTTTTACAAAGCTCAATGTCATGATAGCAAAAATTTTATTATAATACAAGAAAATGGAACATACCATAGTTAATAGAATAGATGGTTTGGAAACTCATTAGAATAACAATATATATACCTCATTATCTACAGGTATGTTAGTCAACGTTTACAGAGGTGTAACTTAACACTTGCCCGGGGCAAGTGAATATCATGACGGGCAAGTAAACGTTTTATCTTGCCCGATTGGGCAAGTTGCCTCTTGCCACAAAAAGCTCGGCTTTCATTATCGGATAATTTTTTTATGGCGCATGTACTTGATTCAAATTTTGTTTTTTGTGGGCCAAAGCTAGATCTAAGGCAGTATAACATAGCCACATAGAGAATGAGTCGACATGTTGCCCCCTTGATTTATACCCCCTGGCAAATGAATTTTATTCAGGGCAACTAATTTTCATGTCCAATTAACTTGCCCTGAGAGCAAATGGTCAAAAAAGTAAAGTTACACCACTGGTTTATTCATAAATCTGGTCTCTGTATTTTTGCCCAACTAACCAATAGCAATGTCTTAGGAAAGTTACCTATCCGTGACTCGAACAATAGGGTAAATTGAAAATTGCAAGAATACAAGGTGGATTTGGCAAGAATACAATACACACATGAGGATGAAGGACCAGATTTATGAATAAATGTTGACTAACATAAATAATGAGTTTGAGAGTTTCAGCCAAACCATCTATTCTATTAACTGTGATGGAACTCATTATGTGCAGATTTACTAAATGGATGAGCTAATTTGATTGAAGTCAACTGCTACTAATGGGCAATGGTCTATTTGTGTTAATAAATTACCTAGGTGACTAGGTCTAACATTTTATACTAAACAACAAATAGGTCCAACATTTATTAATTAAACAACAAGTATATTGTGCTCCTTATTCATTGTTAACAAAAATTTAAAAGAAAAATTGCCTATTCACATTGTAAGGCTAAAATTATGTACATAATTTCAGTAATAAATAAAATAAACAACTTTACCAAGGACAAGTCAAGTGAGTCTTTGTGGATATATATAGACCATATAGTGACAGTCTTTGCAATTTCACATCAAGGTGAGGCCAAAAACCCAAAAGTTGGCGCAATAAAGAATAGTAGATTAGTTCCTGATTATATACAAACATCTATTATGGCAATTGACCATTTGCGTAATAGACTAAATTTTGAACTAAACAAGTCTAGACAAAAATTTCATCACAGCTTGAAGGAGCATCACAAAATTAGTAATATTCCAAAGTTTCGTTGCAAAATGTTGTAAAATGCGGAAAATATAGCCTTGCCAAATGTGCAATTTTCAGTCATTTTAGATTACAAACGGGAAATTGACAGCCCCAAACCCTTCGAGGCTGTCAATTTCCGGTTTGTAATCTAAAATTACTGAAAATTGCAAATTTCGCAAGGCTATATTTTCCGCATTTTACAACATTTTGTAACGAAACTTTGGAATATTACTAATTTTGTGATGCTCTTTCAAGCTGTAATGAAATTTTTGTTGAGATCAAAATTTAGTCTATTACGCAAATGGTCAATTGATAAAACTAGAATAGTGAAGCGAATAGTGCGAATAGTCGACGAATAGTACGAATAGTCCGCGAATAGTCGACGAATAGTGCGAATAGTCCGCGAATAGTCGACGAATAGTACGAATAGTCCGCGAATAGTCGACGAATAGTACGAATAGTCCGCGAATAGTCGACGAATAGTACGAATAGTCGACGAATAGTGCAATAGAGACTTTGCAAGGCTTTGCAGCAGTGCTGTAGAACTAAATTTACCGGGGGGGGCTCTATTGACAAACATGAAATCGTGAAAACATTCGTTGACGTACGTCAATGACGTCATACGTAACCGGTAAAAATTACGGGAACCACTGAGTATTTTAATAAAATATAAAACAACGGTAACTTCGAAAATAAACATTTTAATATTCTAGCTTTCGACTAAAATCCAGTCATCGTCAGGAAACATATTTCATATTTTTTTAATTTATAATCATTCCTAATGGTAAGTGGTAACCATGTTAGTCATGAATTTTACTGATGGAATTTTATAGGAATTTTACTTGTAAGTTGTGACGTGATTTCGTGTGCTTGGAAAACGTGATTTACATCACGAAACAAGAGAAGGTATATCAATTTATTATTTAAGCCCGTTTTTGGGCGAATGAGTTCGCACGAAGCGAAAACCAAATTTCGGCAATGTGATTGGTCAGCGAAAACATTCGCCGCGAAAAAGTTGGATCAGTTCCTACTCTTTTACTTGTCGCTTCGCGCGAACAAATTCGCCCAGTGGAAAACGTCATTAATAATAATAATAATAATAATAGCTTTATTCATCCATCTTAAGATAAAAAAGTACAATGGACTTACAATTACTTGTTTAAGAAAGTATATATGCTGCGGATATGTCTTTATATTACAAATTGTTGTAAGATAATTTAGAAAACTAACTAAGAAGTTAAAACTAATAAATTATTTAATCTAATAAGTTCTTCTAATAAGTTAAAACTATTTATACATATTTACAAGCTCTACCTGAAAATGAATGTTTATGCCTTTCAGTTCCTGAGAAGAATGATATATTGCGATTCCGGTCAATGTTCCTTAAATTGTACTGATTGTTAATTAATTTTGGCAAAACACTGCGACAGGGATGGTGTGGATCGTTCATAAACCTATCAACTTCTCGACTAGTTGCCTCTTCCCTTCTTTCGTTCAACGGTGGTAGGTAATCTTTTTCCAGGCCAAGGATTCTTAAGCTCCTGGATTGGACCCGCTCTATTTCATCTCGCAGGTAATTAGGGAGTCCCGCCCAGACAGGTGATGCATACTCGAGAATTGGTCTTATTTTGGATTGATAGGTAATAATACCGACTTCAGCTGGTAACTGCGATTTCCTGCATTCTCTAAGATGGTAAAGGCGTTTATTTGCTTTACGTGTAATCTCTTCAACATGTGCGTTCCATTTTAGATTATTTTGGAACGACACGCCAAGTAATTTTAAAGCGTTGACCCTTTCTATTAACTCATTTCCAATACGAAGACGTGGTGGTTCAGGTATAGCGTCCGTGAACGAGATCCACATGTCCTTAGTTTTTTTAGCATTAATTGCCATTTTATTTAACACCGCCCAGTTATTTACTTCATTGATAGATTGTTGTAAATTACTATTAGAATCTACGCTCACTATTTGGTGTTGTGTGCAGTCATCTGCATACTTATTCGTACTGACTTTTAGTTGTTCTGGTAAGGCGTCCTCCAAATCATCAATGTAGGTATTAAAAAGAATGGGAGATATTACAGAGCCTTGCGGGACTCCGGCCGGGCATGTTGCAATGGATGATAAGGTACCATTGAGATTTACTTGTTGAACTCTTCCGGAAAGGAAACTTTTAATCCATAACCAGAAGGGTTTATTTATGTTCATAGCTGCTAATTTGTTCAAAAGAATATTGTGATCCACAAGGTCGAAGGCCTTACGAAAGTCAATGAAGGCCGCATGAACCCCCATTTTGCCTGTTTTTGAACAATCAGTGGCATTAAACCAGGTTTGGGTAGTTGATATTAACGCAGAGACTGTGCTTCGATGTTGAGTAAACGCGTGCTGGTTATTCTTAATTTTCAGGTCTTCAATATTTAACTGGAGCTGGATCTTTTCCAGGATCTTGGCAAGATGGGGTAAGACTGATATCTGGCGGAAATCATTGTTAATGTCTCTCGGCGGTTGCACTTTAGGAACAGGGGAAATTAGGGCATGTTTGTAGAGTGATGGATAACAACATTGACTTATACTACAGCACACAATGTCATAAACCACAGGAGCTAGGTCTTCGTGGTATTGTTTGAGCATCCATGCAGGAACCTTATCGATGCCAGTTGCTTTTCTTGGATTAAGATGTTTTAAGACCGCTTTAACTTGGCCAATAGAAGGAAGGGGTGGTTTGTTATTCTTATGTGGGTGGTTCACTTCAGGTATTTCAAAGGCGACATTCGTGTAACGGTCCGACCATGGTTTAGTGAAGGCTTTCTGAAGTTTTTCAGCTAAGTCGGATAAGTCTAGGTTTTCGGGCCCGTGTGGAAATTGGGTGTGGGTTGTGTTTTCGGCATTTACTAAAGAGTAGATACAGTTATACCACTTCGATTGATTCGAGGTACGAAATTCTGAGGCCTTGGACCGATAGTAGGTGGCTTTAGCTTTAGCTATAAGATTTGCCACTTTCTCGCATAGTTGTTTGTATCTTGGCTGATCACCACGAGAAAAGGCCTTCTGACGAGCTTTGATTTGCATTTTAATATTACCGGTGATCCACGGTTTATCAGAGTGATGTACTCTGATGGTTTTTTCAGGTAAGAACTCGTCAAGCATCTTGATTATAATGGAGTTATAAGCTGATACTTTCTCATCCACATCCAGTGCTGAATATACAGTAGTCCAATCTTCAGAAGCCATATTCAGGGAGAGGTCATTTAAATTTGCTCGTTTCATCAATCTAATTTTTTTTGACGTAACCGGAGTTTTCTGTCTTTTAATGGGCTTGATTAGAAGACATTGGTGGTCGGAGCGTCCGATTGGGGGGAGATGGCTAACAGTGTCAAAGAGAGGGAGCATATTTGTAAGGATTTGATCAAGAATGTTGTGTCCTCTAGTCGGTTTAGTTACGGATCTTTTTAAATTAAATCTGTTACATAGTTCTCTTAATTTTAGTTGATTGAAGTCCCCAGCTATAACAATTCCAGATGAAGGACGTTCGCGCAAAAGACTATCTATACAAGTAGTTAAGTATTCATTCATATCGATTGCTTGTTCGGCGGATTGACCAGGAGGGTAGTACACAACAGCAGCAACGATTGTACTGTAAGGTCTAGGGGTTCTTGGGGGTTTTAACAACAACCATATCACTTCTTTGTTTTCTTCTTCGAGGTGAGTCATACGCTCTGCTGGTAAACAATTATTCACGTAGGCGATCACTCCACCGCCAGGAGACTTTCTATCGCGACGAAATATGTTGTATTTATTACCGATCTTAACCGAGGAATCACCGATATCATCACTTAGCCAAGATTCAGTTATCATTACCACGGATGGGTCATAGATCGATACAACAGCAGCTAATTCGTCTACCTTATTTGTTATATGGCATACATTTGACAAGAGGAAGGACGGGACTGAGGACTTTCCAATGGTGGGGCTTGTATTAGTCTTAATGTTAATTAAATTATTAAAATTTACACTTCTCTGAGATGTATAATTATCACTTGTCCGTTGGATTGCGCCTAAACGAGGGTTCCAAACTGGTCCAAGGTGCGGTTGACCAGCTGTAGGTAAGCTTCCCAGGACTCCGTTTCTCCAAGCTGTAACTCTGACTTTGATTGGAAAGGATTCACTTTGTATGCCGGGTTGATTTGACTTGCTCTTGTATCTGTATAGTCTGCTGTTGTTCTTGGTTTCGGAATCCACCGATAGCGACCGCTTCGAAAAATCTTTGAGGGAAAATTTGCTTGACGATATTGATGTTTAGGCTCGGAAAACTGATTGCGCCGGTGATTAGGTTTCGAGAAATGCGTTCTGTTAGTTGAGGAATTATGCATTGGATTCCTCCTATGACGATCCATGTTGGCGTTTAAGGCGGCCTGATTGCGCCGGTAATTAGGTTTCGAGAAATGCGTTCTGTTAGTTGGAGAATTATGCACTTGATTCCTCTTATGACGATGCATGTTGGCGTTTAAGGCGGCCTTTTCTTTTAGGAGATGGTCGAATGAGGTCAGGGAGTCTTGCACGACTGGTTTATTGGGATTTCTATATTTCATGATAAAGAACGCTCATGAAAGTGAACGCTTATGAAAACGAACGCTTATGAAAACGAACGCTTATGAAAGCGAAAGCTTATGATAAAGAACGCTCATGAAAGTGAACGCTTATGAAAAGGAACGCTCATGAAAGTGAACGCTTATGATAAAGAACGCTCATGAAAGTGAACGCTTATGAAAATTAATTAAGGAACGCTCATGAAAGTGAACGCTCATGAAAGTGAACGCTTATGATAAAGAACGCTTATGAAAGCGAACGCCTCGTACCCAGGCCTCTGCCTCGTACCCAGGCGTCTCTTTGTAAAAAGAACAGCGATGCGCGTATCGAACGCTAACGAAAGTCAACGCTTATAAAAGCGAATGCTAATGAAAGTGAACGCTTACGAAAGTGAACGCAAACGAAAGCGAACGCTTATGAAAGTGAACGCTAACGAAAGCGAACGATTATGAAAGTGAACGCTAACGAAAGCGAACGATTATGAAAGTGAACGCTAACGAAAGCGAACGATTATGAAAGTGAACGCTAACGAAAGCGAACGCTTATGAAAGTGAACGCTAACGAAAGCGAACGATTATGAAAGTGAACGCTAACGAAAGTGAACGCTAACGAAAGCGAACGCTAACACAAGTGAACGCCTATGAAAGTGAACGCTTACAAAAGCGCACAATTATGAAAGCGAACTCGAATGAATGCAAACGCTGCACAAAACCCTAATGACTGAACGTTAATAAAAGTGAACAGTGATGAAGGCAAATGCAAATGAAGGCGCAACGCACAAAACGCTAATGAAAGCGAAACGCACAAAACCCTAATGAACTGAGAGCGAACAATGAAGCAAAGGCTGATGGGACTAAACGCGAAATGTAAAGTAATGCAAATAAGTCGTGAAAATGAATACAAATGAAAACGCATTGAGAATAGGTTAACACGACAAACTTACCAGAAAAAACAGCAACCGTTTGCAAATGTTAAACTATACACCAGTCCCATAGGCGTCGAAAGATCGATAAGTGGGGGGGGGGGGG